GCATTACGCTGAGTCATAACCTTTTCACTGGCTCGATACACACCCCATCACGTGTAATATTAATCTGCTAAATTTTAACTGTTTCTTATTTTATTTTTGTGATGTGTACAGTTCCAGTGAATAAAGGTCTTTCTTTCTTTCTTATTGACTGTCCGCTTTGATAAGCTATTGTCAAAATTTCTCAAAACTTTGCTATAGTTCGGCCGTTCAGAGAATGCGTTCCTGACACCTATCAGTTAGTCATGATTAGTGATGGGCACAACATAACACTGAGTTCGTTACCGTTCCTCCAAAATGAACCGCCGCGTTATTTTTAAGATTATTTTCGTTTTAAATTGGCGGAATCATTTAAAATTTATATTTTAGTAATTTAAGTGGAAACCAAAAAAAAGGTAATATTAATATAATAAAATTGTTTTATTTATTCTTTGAAAATAATTGTTTTATTTTTTTTTAGGAAACTGGGTAGAAACAGCCTACAGAAGCAAATCCGAAGCTACTGAAGAGAAGGTTGACAACAATAAAAATCGAAGTCAGTCTAAGAACTACCAAAAAAGACGGCGGATTGCCTGATCGCTGTCTTTTTGCTAGCCTTAGACTGACTTCGATTTTTATTGTCCTCCATTGCTTTATGGACAGGCGAATCAAAATACTCATTACCAAAATAGACAAGTAATATCATCCCCAGCTTCTAATATAATCATTCGATCCCCCAGCTGATTCGTACACCAGATTATCCTGTCCTTCATATACCAGAGAACCAAGATGTTGATTGTTGATACATCTAATCAAAATACAGATATAGTTCAGACAGATTTTGACTTAAGTTAAATACTTACTGATATTAGAATTTAATTTTTATTGCTTTAAAATAAATATCCTGAAGACAAGTGTGTGTTTGGTTGATTTTGCAAAATTACGTAGGCGGTCCCATAAAGAACTGGCCTAACTATGAACCAATCATCATCATCATCACAGCCCTTCACAAGTCCACTGCTGAACATAGGCCTCCCCCAAGTAATGCCACAAAGCACGGTCCTGAGCCACCTGCATCCATAGACTTCCTGCATATCTTACCAGGTCGTCACTCCATCTAGTGGGGGGTCGCCCTACACTACGCCTACCGGTACGAGGCTGCCACTCGAGAACCTTTCTTCCCCATCGGTTATCGGTTCTTCGAGCTATATGGCCGGCCCATTGCCACTTCAGCTTACTAATCCGTTGGGCTATGTCGGTCACTCTGGTTTTACTGCGGATATCCACATTTCTGAGTCTATCACGCAGAGAAACTCCGAGCATAGCCCTCTCCATAGCTCGCTGAGCGACCTTGAGCGTCCTCATACGGCCAGCAGTGAAGGACCACGTCTCAGATCCGTAAGTCATCACTGGCAACACGCACTGGTTGTACACTTTAGTTTTCAGAGATTGATGTATACCTGACAAGAAGATGTGTCGTAATTTCCCGAAAGCTGTCCAGCCGAGTTGAATCCGTCGATTGACCTCTCGCTCGAAGTTGGACTTACCTAGTCGGACTATTTGTACCAGGTAAACGTACCCGTCAACAACTTCTAGCATAGTGCTCCCAACAACTACCGGCATAGGTATGACATGGACATTGAACATGATCTTTGTTTTGTCTATGCCCATCTTTTAAGACCATCTATCCGTTGGGAGACACCATTGAGGTCATTGAGCATAGTGCTAAGGTCCTCCAGCGATTCTGCCATAATACTATATCGTCGGCAATTCGAAGGTGAGTGATGTACTCGCCATTGATGTTAATACCGTATCCTTTCCAGTCCAGTAGCTTGAAAACGTCTTCCGACGCAGCGGTGAAGAGTTTCGGGGATATAACGTCACCCTGTCTTACACCTGTCTGCAGTTGGATAGGTTTCGAACTCTGGTTCTGTACTCGGATAGCCATCGTAGCCCTACTGTACAAATACTTCAGCACTTCGATATACCGACAGTCAACTTGGCACCGCTGAAGGGACTGTAGCACCGCCCAAATTTCGACGAAATCAAAGGCTTTCTCATAGTCCACATACGCCAGGCAAAGTGGCAGATTGTACTCTTCAGTCTTCTGTACAATCTGCCGCAGGGTATGTATGTGGTCTATGGTACTGAAGCCTTTTCGGAAACCGGCTTGTTCGGAAGGCTGGAAGTCGTCGAGTCTGCGTGCGAGACGATTCGTAATGACTCTCGAAAACAGCACGTAGACGCGGCTCAGAAGGGAAATCGGTCTGTAGTTCTTTAAGAGAGCGTTGTCGCCTTTCTTGAAGAACAAGACCACCGCACTTCTACTCCACGCCTCCGGAGTAGTGCCACCATGGAGTACGGAATTGAAAAGCCTCTGAAGGACTTCAAGTACCGGTGTTCCACCTGCTTTCAGAAGCTCCGCTGTAATTCCATCCTCGCCTGGGGCCCTGCCGTTTTTAAGGTGCTGGAGAGCCATTCTAATCTCGCTCAGACTGACGTCCGGGATATCATCGGAATAGTGTCGGGTAAGACTTGCTATTGGATAGTTACTCACACTTGCGTGTGGCTCCAACGATGATGTGTACAGCGCCCATAGAACTTCTCAATCTCAGGTGTCTCGGAAACGATACTGCCACACTCAGTCTTCAGCTTTGACAGTTGGCTCTTTCTGGCAGACAGATCTCTGGCAAAGAGTTTGGAGCCCTGGTTTTGGCTCGATCGCTTCTTTAATACGAGCAGTATTAAAGTTGCGTAAGTCTCGCCGCATGCATTTGGAGATCTGTCTGTTCAGTTGCCTGTATGCTGTCAAATCTGTTGACGGTTGCAGCCTCATCTCCCGTCTAACAGCCAATAGATTAAGAGTGTGATCGGAGAGTTTTTGCGTTCTTCTGCGGCGGGTCTTGCAGAACTTAGCTCCGACCGCATGGACAGTTTTCACGAGCTTGTCATTCATATCGTCCACTGCATATTTATTATATATTTTGTTTAACTAATTTAATTAGCTCTGGTTTTAGCATCTGCATATTTGCGTCAATGCTTTTTGCTTGTAACCATGCCACCATTTCTTCTTTTTTATTAGCTTGGGTAGGTGGTTTCTGTATTTGAACCGAGTGATAGGAGGCGTTATCCATGAATATTACAGAAGGCTCTGGTAGGCTGGGCAAAAGCACGTTCTGGAACCACTCTTGAAATGTACTGGCATTCATTTCCTCGTGGTAGTGTGTGGTTTTTGATTGAAATGCCAGTAACGCGTTCTCCACAAAGCCGTATTTTGCAGAACCTGCGTGGCATATTATAAGACGGGTCCCCTTACCCCTTACCAATGAGTGGTATTTTCAACGTCGACGCTTGTGTATCATCCGTCCAAGAACGCGAAACCGTGTGATTGGCGTTTATCTATGTCTCGTCAATGAACACGACATTATCCCAGTTATCAATATTTTTTGCTTCTCTCAAAAAACTTATTCGTTTTAAAATTATATCGTATCGTTCTAATAAAAATTTTCTTTTGTCTGTTTTTTTATACGAAAAACCTATATCTTTTAAGATTTTGATTAAAGCAGTTTTACCCCCGCTAAACAGTCCAGCTTCTCTTAACGATGCCAAGAGCTTCTTCCTGTTGAGATATTCATTTCTGGAATAGTAACCATATATATGATTTCTGATTGCATCGGCGTCAAAGATGTCAATATCTTTCACGGGTTTAGTTCTACGTTTCTTCTTCGAAGTACGTAAAATATTATCTTCCGTGCCAGTAGAGCCGAACTTTTCTTTATTAATATTTGTTATCGTTTTCCAAGCGCCTGAGAGACGCGTTCTTGTACTTTTTCGACAGGTAACAGGGGTCCGCCATTTTACCGCTCCCGCTCAAAGTAATCTTGAATCTTAATGATTAACTCACAGGCTCCACTTTTCAATGTTTGTCGACGTTTAGGCATTATTATGCGCCAAAAGTAAAAAGAACGCAATACAAAACACAATCAAAGTCCGATTTAGCGGCGATGTCAGTTTGAAAAGCGGAAACAGTCCATTAAAGGAAAGCCGGGTAATCAAATAAAAACAGATCGAAAACACTTAAAGAACGTGGTCTATGCGCACGAAACGACAACAGATGGCTGTTTTAGTGTCACAAAATGGCGGCCCATAACGCAATTTGGGGTTACCATTTTCAACCTAAATATGTATAAAAATGCTACTTTCTTTCGCGCGTTCGGTTTGGTCGTAGTTTTATTTTTATATTTAATAAAAGTTATCTTATAGTCCATTATTTTCAAATTCTTGAAAAGAAAAACAAAACGTATTATTTTATAAAGTATAACTGTACTATGAGAACAGATTACGATACTGTTATTGCCTGTTATTGTTAGCACAGCACTACAAATATAAAGCGCTGACATAACCTTGTAATAGCGCAGTATATATTTAGAAAAATATTGTTTACCAAGTTATTTGACACTCAGTTTGGCACAAAATTATAACATTCATTGATTATTGATATAATAATGTTGTTTTAATGCTCATCAAATGCTAAAACGGTAAACAAGCAGCAAAAATATTTTTATCGTAACTGCAACGCCATTAAAAAGTTACGTCGTCAGTTCAATCGCGACGTGTCAGGAACGCATTCTCTGAACGGCCGAACTATATGTAACGCATCACTATATTGTGAAGAAAAAATCTATAAAAACAAACATCCCCAATGAAATGAAGATAATATGGCTTAAAAACAAGCATCCAAGTCAAAAATCTCAATAAAAAATATATAATCTGTGGTCAACATCAATAATTCACTTGCTACATATTTATTTATCTATGATTCAATAATGGCATAAATGGCGATGGCAAAGCTAGTTTGTTGTTTGTTTGTTTATTTCTGACCTGTTTCTGACAGAAAAGCGTAACGAATAATTTTTTGTTTTACTAATTTTTCTGACGGATATTAGTAATTGTGAAAAGCTTTGGTCGTTATGGAATCCAAAAGGGATGTATTATGTACCGGCTGCTTGTCCGCTGGTCGCAAAATGTTCATACTTGACGATTATTGGAAAAAGAAATGTTTTATGGAAATAATTAGTGGGATACCGGTAAAAATTTTATGATAATGTTGCAGACTATTGTTTATTGCTCTATACGGACGGCCACTTTCAAATGCTGGTGTAGTACGGTATTTTTGACTGCATCTGAAGAGCGCTCTGTCAATAAATGTGTCAATAAATATGTCAGTGAATACCGTCGCAGCCTATCAGAAGTCCACAGCTGAACATAAGCCTCCAACGTAGATTGCCTCATCGGGGAAATATTGACCATTTTTGCCACGCGTGGCAACCTGATTGACTACTGCAGTTTTTTAAATTATTTTAGTTATTAGGGAAACGCTTAGTTATTAGGGAAACTCTGCTGGCTATCTGATTTTTTCCCCTCTGTTGCTGCTTACAATATCCACGGGACGTTATGGGGTAGTGCATATTCTCACACCGCCACTACTCTGTCAATAGTGAATACTGATATCTATCTCAAAAGGTTCAAATTTCTTTTAAACAAGCTGTCTTAAAAATGTTATTATAATGTTCAGAAGTTCAGATACATGATTGAAAACAACCCCTGGGTATGAGGTGAAAGTTTTCCTACAGTAGGGACTTGTTAAAGCAATGGTATAGCATTTGACTTTCAAAAGTACTTATTTAAAGCCAAATAAGAATATCTGACTTTGATTTTGAATGCAATACACAACTGTTGTGTGCTTAAATTACAGATATCTCAAAATGAGAGTATACCAGTGTGGCTTTGTTGGGAATGCCAAGCAGTCATAGCTCGATTTATCAAGTTCAAGCATCAAGTCATTCAGTCATTTAAAATTTTTCAAAACTACTTAAAAGAGGTGAGTGAGTTTCTAAATGAATAGTAAATTTACGAGATTGTATTATATATATAATAAGGTCCAATCTGAAGTTATGAAATACAAAGGCAGTATTCTAAACGGTCATTAGATGAAATTAAAAACCACAAAACCTTCCAGATATTTTCCAAAGCTTATATTGAAGTAGTGTAACTCATTATAGAAGATAGGGTTTTATTTATAAATTGAATTAACAAGCAAACTCACAATCAACCTGATTGTGTCTTGACAATCTCAAATTCCCATTACAGGTGACAACCCACAGTCAAAGTCCTGGTTTGTTGCAGGATTTCTAAAGTAATTTCGAGTAAAAATTTTGCAAGATGTATTAATAAAATAGCAATTTTATAATGATTTCTTATATTTACGCGAACACTATACATTGATTAAAACTACTGTTATGGATTTTATCGCGTTTTGTTTATATTAATTTTAATACCGGATGTTTCGGGTGCTTCCCAGCACCCATGGTCACGGGGGACTGAGGTGACTGACGTCCCGATGTCAAAGTTAACCCGGAGTGCCTTCAGCTTTTTAATTATTATCTTTGGTCCGATCTACGCAGAATGAACTAACTGTATTTTGAAGTCTTGCAGTGGTATACTTGGGTTTAGTTTTAATTTTATTAATTATAGGATCCCAAGCAGGTGGTAGTACCCAGCCTCCTTCTCTATTGAAATTAGGATGTTTTTTAATTTCAATAGCCACACGTATCATCCTTGGTAGGAATCGGTGTTCTTTCGTGAGGATTTGTGGTCTATCAAATCTGATGTAATGGTTGGGGCCGTCTAGGATATGATCACAAACTGCAGACTTCATAAAAGTGGTTTTGATCAATGTGTAGTGTTCGCGTAAATATAAGAAGTCATTAATAGGATGTATATTTACTTGTTGAACATGATGGTGTTACATCTTGTTACGATTCTACTGGCTATTCAAAACTTACACTTGTTTCAACGTAATAAGGTTAGTTTTGCGTCGTCAAAATTCACTGACAATAAAAATAGGGAAAAGCAATCCACAGGGTAACTCTCATTTGTGTCAAACTGGGTTTATTGCATCTCACAGTCAATCAAATCAAATCGCGGAATTTTTTTAGATAAAAAAGTGCTTTCCATAATAGCCAATATTTCAACTTTAGGTAAAGATGCATCGGAATATCCGATCAAAAGTTATAACATACAGGTCTTTGCACTTTGAACTTTGCAGAGAAAGTTCATAATAAGTAATATATAGTCCGGTCAATCTAGACATTCGGTGATACATAGAGTTACAACAAGCTGATAATCGGTAAAATTATTCAAAATTTAATTATAAATAAAATTTCTGAAGTTCCCCACCGTTCCTGTGTACGGAAAAAAATTTACTCAAGGTCAAAAGTCAAAAATGAGTTCACTATTTTCAGCAAAATGGTAAGTTTTATCATAATAATTAGCTAAGACAAAAAATGTATCAATAATTTTTTCCTAAAAGTCACCATTTCTGAGATATTATGATTAAAAACATTGTAAAATTTGTAAACGTCATAATATGCATGAGTAAGCCACGTATATACGAGTGATGGGGCAAAATCGGATTCACCGAATACGAATATTCGATCGAAAGTTCGGTAAAACTTTTACCGAACCGAATATTCGATTATTGTTGTAACTTTATGTATCTTCACTCTTATTTTTTGGTCTAATTTCACCGGAATAATAGGCAAATAGTGTAGAAAAATTAATTGAAAAATAAACAATCTGTCCTTTTTATCTTTTACATTCAAAATGCGTGGTAATGAAAAAAAATGTATTATTTTAACTGATTTCACTGCACACATTTGTTAGGGTCGATCGGTAGGCTAAAATGTTGTTCATAATTCATATTCAATATGAGATCATAATTTCAAACAAAAGTAGAAGCCTTATTTACTTTACTCGTATTTTCAAATTTAGTAAAAAAGCTATGCTATTAACTGAAAGGCTAATCAAGCTAGTTGGCTGCGACATAGTATTTAAATAAAGTTAAAAAATAAAATAAAGTTAAAAATTAATATTAATATTTCAATTATGGAAGTTGAATGTGTAGCAATCTATGAAGCTTTATCGTATACACAATCATGCAATTATAACAATATTGTTATTTTAACAGATTCAAGGAGTGCGCTTCAACACCTTGCTCAGTGTACTTCGGTTTTTCGAGGCTTACCAGTAGCATATGCGATTTTAAAGCTTCTAGTTAAGTTACAGGCTGACTCCAAAATAGAATTTTTACAATAGATACCTTCGCACATTGGCTTAAAGGTTAATGAAAAAGCTGATATTTTAGCCAAACAAGCTATTTCGGAAGGCACTGATATTAATATTACCCCTTCATTTCAAAATTATGTACCGTTATTAAAAAAATATTGTTATGACCTCTGGAAGGAATATTTTGACATAAGAGCAAAAGAGAAGGGTATATGGTACAGTACGATCCTGCCGTACCCAATGCGCTCAACCTGGATGGATAACTGAATATTGTGTAGACGCGACACTGTAATAGCATTAAGACTCAGATCTGGGCACATCCCATGCAATAAATTTTCATACTAAACTGTTCAACTTGCAACGTTATCGATGATGTTTATCACATTTTGGTAGAATGTGCCCAGAACTACAGAGAAAGAACAAATTGTAATATACATTTGTCATTCATTGGCAGTATTAATAGTATTTTTGAAGACAGGTTATCAGAAGATGCCAAAAAGCTATATGTGTTATTAAATAAGAGATTAAGTAATTAATAAATTTATATAGTTGTTAGTATTTATCCTATTTAAGAATTTTGTTGTACCAGGGCGTCATAATCGCTTCAGCGACAAAGCCCTTTTTCTAAGGATAAAAAAGTATTTAAGTAGTCATTTGTTATAATTATCATAATCACAGATTTGTGTGGTAATATATCTCCTAATAACTATTCCCTAATCATCATCTGGTATCTATTTATTAATATTATATATATATATATATATATATATTTTTTTATTAAAATTAAAAAGGGGGGAGGGGGGGGGGTGTTTTTTGGATTTTTAATTTAAGATAAAGGGAGTGAGGGTTGGGGATTGTGACTTTTAGTTATAGTTGTTTTGTTTTTTTTTTTTTTTTTTTTTTTTTTTTTTTTTTTTTGGGGGGAAAAAAAAGAAGGGGGAATTTATATATATATATATATATATATATATATATATATATATATATATATATATATAATATTATAATGAATAAGCAATAAGATTTCTTTCTTTTAAGAAGTCAGAACACAAAGGTTTGACCAATAATGTTCATATTATTTTCATAGAGTCCACAATACAGGTCTTTGGCTAAGGCAATAAGTGGAGTTTTATTTAAATTTGAATTGAAATAATTCAAACAAGTGTGTCTCATGTCTTGAGGTCAAGACCTGAGACAAATAAAGTAAGTTTGTTTGTCAGACAGAAATACAACAGTTTCCACAGTTGCTTGGCAGAATAATAGGTATGAGGCTAGTATCCACCCAAACAGACTTCTAGGTACAAAAAAAGTCCATAATAATGGACTACTCTTCTGTCTAGAAAAAAGGAGTCCAAATAAAATTAAATACATTCATATGGTAAAACTATTTTTTTACCACTATTTTTCAGAATTTAGACCTGACACAGATTAAGCATATGTCAAAATTATGTACAGAGGAAATAATAAACATGACAATTCAGCCTGAAATTGTGGAGTTTCAAGATTTATCCGAAAAAGTCATCAAAACAGAAGAGTGGGAATTTATTCCTAAAACAGCAGGAGTTGAAGTAAAAGAAGAAGATAATGCATCTATCTTTTCTAATATAGATGAGGATGATAAAGCTTTAATAGAAGTTGTAAAAAGAAGAAAGAAAAAATCGCATAAGGTTGTAAATGGCAATACAAAAAAAAGAAAAGAGAATACAGAGCCAGAAGTATTTGAATTGTTTAAAGAGATAGAGTTAAGCAAAGAAGAATTGGAAGAAGAAAGAAAGATATTGGCTGGCAAAGAAGATTTTGTAAATGCTATGTTTAGATGTGAGAAATGTATAGTTTCTTTTCCGAATGCAGATGATTTAAAGGACCATATTAATTTGAAACATGAATTGGTGAGTTCTAGTGATATTCACAATCACATATGTGAGGCAATTATTTTTTTAAATACTAGGAATGTTACCAATATTAACTTTAACTAGTCTTGGTAAGCTTAGAATGTCTATGTTAGGAGTGGTATAGGGTAAGGTTTGAAATTAAGTCGCCTGAATTATGGGATGGGGGGTGGTGGGGATGGAGGCGGGGGATTTGTAGAGTCGCCCCCTGCCGGACGTGCTTAGTTTTTTATGTAAATTTTTAAAAATCTCATTTTGAGATTATGTTTTCGTCAGGTTTTGACTATAAACTTCATTTATGGGGGGATAGAGTTGGGAGAGGGAAGCCCCACGCTACTCAACGTACCGTAGCGCAGTCGAGAGAAGCCTGGTCGACGGACTTTGCGGGGATCCTACTTCTTACTGGTTCATAAAAAAACCACGAAGGGGATGGCCCCTGTCCCCTAGACCTATATCCCCTTCTAACTTAACCTGTCCGAGTCAGGGTGCCCTAAGTCCCGAGCTCGCTTCGCTTGCTCTTACACTCAATAAAACACAAAAATATTAACTTTTAATAAGTACTTCAAATTATAAACATAATTTATAGCTACAAATATTTGTAAAAATGGATCCAGAAGGGTAGCTAAGTCATCGAAAAACAGGTGGAGGCAGATAAAAACGTTAGGGAGCACATTCACGTCACATAACAACGGATATCTGTCACTGTCAACAAAATAGTCGGCCTAGCGATTCATTTAACTAATTTTGAGATGACTTTGACAGGTGCAACATCAAAAACGGTAAAATGTTCGTTCCATTTCACGTTTGGTTAGTGATTTTCCCTGATAACAGCTGAAAATAATAAAAAAGCATGGCTGCCAAACCGCCAGTCCAGCGTGGCTACTATGGCAAAATTCTCCCTATCAGGCAATCTATAGGGGAAACTTATGTAGTGGACTTTTATAGGCTGTAGTTGATTATGGATGGTTGAGTAACAATTTGATGTCCAACATTGGTACCCCAATATTTAATTGTTTTGTAGAAGTGTTTTTTCTTATAGTTATGGGTGACAAACGAGCACACAGTCCACCTGATGATAGTGGATGTTGTGGCCCGTAGATATAGCCCAGACACATTTATCCTCAATTAATAATCAAAATGTAGATGTGTTGTCACCCTTGAGGACTAAGTTTGAATGCCACAATTTCTGTTATAAGGGTCTCCGGTTCTGTACACTCACAATACGAAAGATGGCAACATAAAGTTGCTATTGTTAACTTAATATGTTTGTGAGAGTGTGGTTCAGCCCTGGTCGAGTCAACCCATTTTTGCTACAACTGTAATATGGCTGCAGTGTGGCTCTACCATGTACAAAAAGTCTGTAGTGTTTTGCTGATAAGTAGAGTGGCCATATAATGGCCAAAGCCGATCAAAAAATAACTGTCTTATAAAATAAAAATATAATCTTGATCCTTCTTGGCATAGCTCTTTATCTGTTCCTGAAGTTTCATCACGACAGAGATCATTTCATTCAGAGGGATTAAAAAAAAAAAGAATCTGAAAAGTATAACTTTATAAGGACTTTCTAGGAAAATCATTTTGAACTTGGATGGAAACAACAGTACCCACTACCGGGAGCAGTTGCAGGAGCGCGGAGCGCTGCTGGAGCGCGAACATAATGGATACCCACCTTTATACTCATAAGTGGGAACACTTATTGTGACGGACGGGAAACTACGAAACCCTACACTGAGCGTGGCCCGACACGCTCTTGGCCAGTTTTGTTTTTATATATTTATATTAAGGTTTATGTCCTAATGTTGCAAACGAGAGACTTGTTAATCATAATTGTATTATGTGAGTAAAGATCTATTAACTCGTGTACTTTCCACAGAATGCCACGAATTACAAATGTGAGACCTGCGAGTGCTCATTCTCTAATGAGGTGTCATACAATTACCATGTAAACAGACATACAAAAAGATTTCAATGTGTTATATGTGAAGAGAGATTCGGTAGTAAAAGGTCGGCTAGCAAACACTATGGCTTGGTCCACTGTCACAGGTGAGGTTCCTTTATATTTATAAGTGATTGCCTCGTTGGTTTCTTGGTCGTGAACCCGACTATAGATTATAAGGTCCCAGGTTCGAATCCAGCATTTCGGGCCAAAAGAAACAGTTATTGAGTTCTTCTGTCTGTTGGTGGTGTTCTGCCCCTGAATTTATGTGCGAAAATACGAAATTATTATTTTTACGGTTGTGGGAATTGTTGTTTAGCTTTGTTTTGACCCTTTGTTTAGTTGTATTGTTTATATGTGATGGAGCCACGCTGCAGCTGTGTTATGGTTGTAGCACGAATGGGTCGGCTCGACCGAGAAAGGACCACGCTCTCACAGAATACCAGCGTAAAATAGCAGCTTAATGCTGCTGTGTACCATATGGTGAGTGTAGGGAACCGGAGAGCCTTTTTACTGGAAACGAGGGATTACACCATAAATCCTCAGTGGTGATAACACTTTCTTCAATTTAAATCTTAATCGAGAATAAATGTAGATTTCTATGGGCCACAGCATCCACTTACCATCAGGTTGTCTGTGAGCTCGTTAGTCTCGTTTATTCTGTAAAAAAAATGTATCAGTACCAATTATAAAAAGTTTAAAAGTTAGAGTCTTGCTGCCGGGCACAGGGCTTTATCCACTTTCCTAAAGGGGTTACGGAGTATTTACCATAATTATTCTTCGGACATGCATTCCTCACGATGTTTTCGTTCATTGCCGAGCACATGGACAACAATTAAAATTAGATGCAAGAACATTGCCTGAACTGTTTGCCATCTACTATATGTCTTTTAAGGGGGCATCCATTAATTAAGTGAGGCGTTTAGGGTGGAGGGGTCGAGCTGAATCTCTCCCAAAAATAAAGTAAAATTGCAAGTTATCTGGGTTGAATTAAGTAAAACATGTTTTTCCATTAAAGTTTGGCTAAACCCTACACAGTAATAATTATCGCCGTTATGCGGATGCCACAAAGCTAGCACAGTAGCCCTTCGATAGAATAGAATTGAATCATTTTTATTCGATAAAGATTACATGTAATTCTTATAGAAAGTAATTATTAGTGCGGAGCTCCCAAAACGATTCTTTGAAATCTATCTCCTCCGTAACCCGTAGGCCAATTTACATAATTTCTTCGGCAATATTTGTAGCTCAACGCAGACCAGGTTTGTAAATAATAAAAATCTAAAAATTACATACTATTTGATGAATCTTTTGTTGAAATAAAAATAGGTATGAGTTTAGACTTTTCCGTTTCGTTTATGATGCTAGCAAAAGGTTTTTACCTTTGCATCTGCGTCGGCCCTAGTTTACTTTTGCCACTTCTTCGAAAAATACCTCTGTCCTAGAAAAAACCAGCAAGAAATCCAGCGGGATAATTATTTAAGTAAAATTAATTTGCAATATGTTACTTTATACAATTAGTACGAAAACATTTAAGAGACAACGTGGTAGCGATATTCTTATTCCCTATTTTTTTTTACAGTGTACATTATGAATATGTACTGAACAAAACATTTAATGGTAAGTCAAAGAAGCCAGAGGAAGACACAGAACACAACAGGTGAAATTTTTTATATATTTGTTATGTAAATTAAAGATTTCCGGCGACCCATTTTACTCGAGGCATTCCATTTTAGTCCCACGACTCAATTCGAAAAAAAGATGTTAAAGTTAATTAAAGATTTTTATAAATAAATTGGAAGCTATACAAGGTGTAAGTGTAAACACCGTTGTCACTAAAACCATAGGTAGTTGGCTTTAATATAAATATATTTATCCGAATTTAAAAAAAAACCGCTATTTTGTTTCATAAAATTTAAAAAGGTTCTGTCCGACACTGTCCGTAAAATTATGGATACCCTATGCGCCCGAGTGACGTAATAACTGTAAAGACCACTGCCCGCGCTAGTTACCTACACAACATTCCAATAAAAACACAATAGGTACACATAACCTGTGATGTAACTTTTACTTCATACTTTCATCCTGGCTTAGAACAGGCAAAAATTGAGGAATTAAGGAAAAATTGAGATTTTACTAAAAAAATGTTGTTATTTTTCATTGAATCCCCGTATATATATATTTACAATCTATCTGATGGTAAGTGGGTGGTGCAACAACTGGGGCTAACTACAAAACCTCTCTGGACTACTATGACCCATTTAAACCTATCTGTGAGGAATTATCCCAAATTTTGAAATAATATAAGAGATTGATCTGGTAAAGGTCTATATAATGCAAGAGCCAAAGGTACAATGAATCAGCAGATAGTGACGAATAAAATTACAATGAATATTACATACATAAAATGTTGGAATTAAAATGCTATGACAATCTAAGCGCATGATTCCTAATGAAATGAATCGGGCGTCAACATGCCCCCGGGCGTTGAAAGCACGTCTTTCAACCCTTGGATCAACAATACCAACTAGATGTCGGCTCGGCGCAAGAAATCCATCTCAGTAAATAAGAGCGCACATGAGACGTGAGCTCTTGCACGCGAGAGTGTAGCTCGCAGGGCAATAAAGGGAAAAAGAACTTTATTTGTTATAACTTAAGGTTGATTTCACACTAAATGTTATTTAATTTATGTCTTTTCATAGTTTATATATATTCATGCGGACAGTATTTAGCTATGATTTTGTACGTGACCCGTTATCTAGTTGGTATTGTTGATCGAAGTTTCAACCAGAAGGCATAGGGAGCGGACAAATCTTGCTGAACGATAGTCGAATTATTCCTGCAGACGTTTTGATATCTGCCACACGACTGATGTTGTCAGGTCCAGGATAAACAGCAACGACTCGGCCCAACTTCCATTTCAATGGAGGGAGATTGTCTTCGTTCACGACAACCAAAGAATTCAATTTCAAGTCATCGTTGCTGACATGCCATTTCATTCGTTGCTGGAGTTTAGAAACATACTCTTTACACCATCTAGTCCAAAAATGTTGGCGGAGTTGCTCGATCCGTTGAAAGCGGCTCAAAGAGTTAGTTGGATGACTTCTATAGTCTCTATCTGGTGAAGACGTGAGCGGCCGTCCGATAAAAAATTGACCTGGTGTTAGTGGCATTAAATCTTCTGGTTAGGATGACAATTGTGTGAGAGGCCGAGAGTTCAATATCGCTTCAATTTGCACCAGCGTAGTATTAAGCTCCTCGTAAGTGAGATTACAGTTTCCCAGCACTCTTTGTAAATGAAACTTGGTTATTATAATAAAATGGAAATTAATCCCATCATTACCCATTTTTTCGGACAGTAAATTGCAATTGGTTTTTTTTTAAAAAGGGGAAAGTTATTGCACGTGGTACCGTTGTCAGAGTAAATACTATTTGGCTTACCCCTTCGTGATGAAAATCTTCGTAAGGCCAGTATAAAACTATGGCTTGTTAAATCGCCAACCAATTCTAAGTGAATTGCTTTGTTTGCGAAACACAAATATGGCTATGTACGAGTACACCTTTACCAAATGACATCCGCGACCTTGGCGACTAGTAGATAGCAGGAACTGTATAGTCTACGCCTAAATTTTCGAAGGTGTGAAGGAGGCGAGAGGGGTGTGTCAGGATCGTGCCAAATGGAAGTCTGTAGTCTCTGCCTACCCCTCTGGGTGACAGGCGTGAGTGTTTTATATATATATTTATATATATATATATATATATATATATATATAGTATATATATATTTTATCGAAGGGATAGCCTCCAGGTTGAATACGCTGCTGTGGTAGATTACCCATCAATGGCTCTACGACCTTACCTTTCATGCGACTACAAGGGACGCATTGATGGTAGCATCTCGTCGCCAGATTTTGACCACCAATTGGCCAATACGATTCTCTTATTGTAGCTTCTAGAAATTGGGGTCCCTCGTGCATTAAATTTTTATGTTGGTAATCGAATAACAATTGAGTAAAACGATGTGTGGACTGTAATAAGATGGGGTGTTTCTTATCAGAAGAAAAGTTTGAATTGTTTAAGCGACCTCTTACTCGCATGATATTGTTTTTATCTAAAACATTGTGAACTTATGTAATGGACTTTTTGGGCAAAGATAATCCCTTAAGAAGCATGCTATACTCTAGAAATGACTCCTTTAGTATGTTCTTAATAATGTGGTTCAAAGCGTCTTGTTGTTCACTCTAGGTTAAATATTTAGTAGGAGGAATCCGTTTTCTACATACATAATAAAAGTTTAAGTCTTGAAACATTGGAAAACCGATTTAATTCAATTAATTCAAAAGATTTTGTATTTTCACTGTCAGTAACATTTAATGAGACTTCCAGTTTAAGCTCGGGTAGTAATGTGAGATTTTTTGGCTGTGAAGGCCATTGTGATAAATTTTGTTTAAGATAACTTGGACCACCACCACGGGTTACGATGCCGTAATATTTTACTATCAACACCACGAGACAGTAGGTCTGCGGGGTTGTCACTAGTATCCTCCAAAGTAGTCTTACTTAAATACAATTACTTGATTTTTCTAAAATCTCCGCTACACGGTTGCGCGCAAATAGCTGAAGCTTAGCGGGTGGCATTTTCAACCATCCCAATACTATAGTGGAGTCGGTCCAGAATGTAGTACGAGTATAGTTGCACCCGAATTAATCAGCAATCGTTACGAGCTTGAGGTTTGTGACAATAAAAACTGCCTATTGAATTACCAAAATTTACACTCTTATTACCGAACACCAATTAAAACTTAAAAGACACTAATAATTAATCACACTGATTCACTTTATTTCGCCCCGAAGCTTCGCTTGTCTCGCCAAATTCAATACTGCTCCGATCGCGTCTTGCAGCGCCTTTAAATACACCTTTTACACCGAAACATCCAGAATATTCTAGTAAATACGGGCGCCGACCGACCAGACGCAGAAAGTTCGAGTGTGGGGCTTCTAGAAAGCTTAATTCTTCTGTTCGATACAAGATGGTGCAATTAACGAGAGCGCTACAAAGCTCAAGTCTCGGAATTGTCGTAGGTTTAATAAGAGCAACACAACCCTTAGCTATCAACAAATGCACGGAAATATCTCCCTTATCGTTTATACTGCGAACATACAACCAAGCGCCGTAAGCCTGTACAGACGCATCACAGAAAATGTGTAGTTCAATTAACTTACATGAGCTACAAATGACAACACGAGGAATACTAAGATTATTGAGCAAAGGTAAATCCTTAATTATTTCTGCCCATTGTTTACTAATCACGGCAGTTAATTGTTCATCCCATGTTAACTTTTGTAACCATAGTTTTTGCAGCAGTATTTTCATTCTTATGACGCGTGGAGTTCTAGGGGGTCAAATATTTGCGCAATTGCGGAAAGTATATCGCGCTTTGTATTATTACTATTATTATTTAGTGAACCTATCGGAAAACAGAGTCCGTCAGAATCTGAACGCCAGTTAAGACCTAAAAGCTTACTCAGTTGACCTACTTCCGATATTTAAATCTAACGTTGTTTGTGATTGCTCGGAAATTAATTCATTGCAATTTGACCTCTACTTTCTGAGTGACGTACACGCGGAAGTAAGTTCAGATGTAACCCTTTTTTTAATCTTTTTGACATCTTTGAGTTCATCCCCTCCCGTCAACAAGTCGTCAACGTTGAAATCATGCAAAATAATCTCTGATATATTTTTGAATCAATATATCTTGACGCTAGTGTCATATACCAGGCATCAACTATGGCGCGCAACAATATCATCTGGACCAATATATAATCCGCATGATAATATTTTAACATTCTCTTGTGCTGATAATTGTTCTCCAGTGCTAACTTCTCATTATCCTTTCCATGTTTAATAGATTGGATATGTTCGGTGGATTTTTTATATAAAATATTCTTTACAATATTTTGACAGCTTGTATCGAAGCATCGTTTTATAACGCGGCTAAAATTAGAGGAAGTTAAAATATTACGCTGCAATTCTAGCCACTCGCTACATCCACTTTGTAGAACGGTTTCCCGAGCTATTCTTTCTCTTTCTTCGGGACTCTTCTGCAAATTTTGCAAAAACGCTTCTTTTGATTTTAACATCATCTCTTATGTCTGGTTTACTACGATCTTCACCATAATTTCTGGGAACCTGTTTCTCAAACCTTAACTTCTTTTTTATGTACTTTTTGGCAGACTTCAATTTTTTGGCTTACCGTTGTTCATATTTTTTAATATTATTTCGTGGGCTTCGACCTACGATTGATTTGTAAAGAATTCATAAAGGTTTTCGAGTGTTGAAAGATATTGCGACAATATAGCCTATATTGGTAATTATAGCTTATATTGGTATTTTTGACTGATGTGTATTCTTTTGCCACCTATAAATTTGGCTACGATACTGTACGAGTATCTTTGTACAAAATTACTGTCAATGTCATTGATAAGGCTTCGAGAGCTGCCAGTTGACTAATTATTAACTTGATTCACAACCAAATGCTATTGGAAAGCAAGTTTTCATCAATATTTTTGTCGTCTTAATTTTTTATACAGGTATAGTTTTTTAATTTATTATGCCGACTAAAAGTATGTTCGGCAGCATTCATTATATATATATATATATATTTTTTTTTTTTTTTTGATGAAAACTTGAGACGTTTCTAGTTTATTTGTGGGTTTTATTGCTTCAAAAACCGCTTTTCTCATGGACATCATTAGTGTTCAAAAAGGCAAAAGCTTCTTCAAAAAAGTGATTTTGAAAAAGCTTTTGCCTTTCACGAAGTTTTTATTTGAAAACTATTTACGATTATTGAAATTTGATATCCCTATAATACCACCATCATCACAGCTAATAAGAGTTTACTACCGAAAACATAGTGCTCCCCCATTGGATAGCCTCATAGGGTAGACACGCTGTAGTTGCCACGCTTTGCAGATATGTAGGAGGCAAGCGCATTGCGCATGAGATAGCTATACCGAACACGCGCTCGGAAAAAAACTAAGTAAGCGCCAAACAACATTTTAATTTCTTAACGAAACTTAGTTATGGATTAAAAAAATGGTTTATGAGGACTTAGATACGTTATATATAATATGATTATTTAATATCCTTCTTTTCGTTATATTATTTCAAATTTTTTTTGGGTATTTAGTTTCTGTGGTAATAGACGATAATTTGTTACAAAAAATTCTGAGCAAGTGGTTTCGGCGTTCCACCTTTTCAACCGTAAAGTTGTCGTATGGTGTCGCTTAGAGTATTTTTGAGTAGGTGTTTGCGTTTCCGTCCGAGATTAACCTTCCATAAATCAGATTATGCATCTCTAAGTTCCGCTAGGAAAGCCGCGACGGAGGGCGGGGATACACATGCCTTAGGGGCAAGGGGAGCAAGGGCATTAGAAATGGTATTGGCGAGATAGGTCTCGTCGTAATCGAAGGCCAGTCCTCGAGCTTGGAGCGACTGGGTGACAATAGCCGTAATTAGGCTTGGAAGTTGGTTTATGTTTATGGTAGACATGATGGGTGGACAAGGGGGGGGGCTGACGTTTATTCAGAGAAACAACACTTGCTCTGAGAAGAACGAGGCCTTGTCCTTAAAGGGACAAGGTATGTTTTTCTAAAACTATACAGATAAATATAAAGTAACAATTAGAACAATAACAATAATAAGAACAGAAAAATTAAAGCCTTCTACTAATATGTCTGATCACATTCCAGTAGATAGACGTAAAAATAATTTGCCGATAAAAAAATAAAGGTACATTTAATACAACAATGGTACATAACAAACCTGTGTAATTTTTGTAACAAATGCGATCTTTCGCCTCTGGCAATATTTATTTTTAATGTCTAAAAGTAATATTTTATTTGTTCATCTCCCAATGATAGCGGCGACACCAGAAAAAAAAGAATAATTTTTTTATAGGACCTTTTGCCATAACACCCATCTGCAATGACGTCAATAACTGGATTTCCGCCAGAGTTAACTCTTTCTTCATTGACTGCCAAATCATACTCTTCTTTAGCTGCTTCGCTCAGAGATTTTATTAGTTCTTCTTCCCATTTTTTCTTTACTTGGTCACTTTTCTTCGTAAATAGTTATAGTCATAGAGCAAAACCAATAGCACAACTTAATTATTTTCATTGTGAATATCCACATCCAACAACTGCGCTGGTGTTGATGTCCATTTCATCTACGGGTTTATGAGTTTCCGGAATGAAAGTCATATTGCGCATCATGCGTTTCAACTTGAGTTCGGAAATAAGGCCAACACGAACTTCAGACACAATTTTTACTGATGTCACTGTACAGGGCCGTGGGCAGATATTTCTTGAAGCCCTTTGAAAGAATGTGTTTCGTAAAAAATCCGTCTACGAACTTGTTTTTCTTCGTGTGTTAACGCTGTAACAATATAGATAATCATATTATAAGTCCAATTTAAAAATTTGATATTTTGCCCGACTTCATATCGACCTTCATATTGAAGTTCAACAAGAAGTCGCAAATAAAAAGAACGAAGAAGAAGATCCGGCTTGCGTAATATTGGAGAAATACATGGACAAACATACATACATACGGTACACACATAACCTCCTCAGTACCAGAGTATATTTTGAGTGTCATTATTGGAATATACCGTCTTTTATTATAAAATATATATTTTTAGGTATGTTGTTATATCAGGAACGTAAATATTTTTCGGGTACATTGGGTTTCAAGGATTCCAAAAGTACTCAAAACACCATATATTTTAAATTTTTATTTTTATTCGAAAATTCGGTTATTTTTCAGTATTGAAAATAATATTTTTTTATAATTAAACTTACTGTATAAATGTAACTGTGTGCTACAATTCGTGATAGTCGTTATAGCAATTTCTTCCACTCATCAGACACAAAACCACTTTACAAGTTGGGCATTGATGTCTTGCCTTAGTGGACTTAACCTGTCAGTCTACAGCGGTTTTGAGTGTCCAAAATAATAGGTAAGTGATCTAATTTTCCCGTTCTTACGAAATTAGATGGATGCTGAGTTCGAGCTCGCTTGCTTTGAATTGCATCCGGCACGATGTCATCATCAGCAGAAAGTTCTTCTATTTCCTTTTCATATTGCAGTAGAAAGTCAGCTATCGCTTTCCGAAACCCAAGATAGTCCAGTATGTCTTTTTTTCTAGTACCTAGCATTTCCTGATCCGATTTATATTCTATTCAGGATGCTGCCAAAGAAAAAAAAAATTTAAAAATCATATAAATGGAATGTGAGTCTAATTGTCCACTTGCGTGTTCTGGATGAAATCCTGTAGTAACTTATAATCCGATCCAAGTAATCTATACCACCCATTTTTTCATTGTAGTGTATCACTACGACGCTGTACCGAGATGTACCTGTTTTGACATCATAACTGTTACGCCAAAAAATGTTCTTATCTCCCTTTCTGACGTATTCAGATTCTGTCCAGTTTCAGCAAGATAGCTTTGGTTTGTGTGGAAAGCGATTACCTCATAGAAGTCGCTGGGTAACACATACTCGTTTGGTGGTAAATTTATGGCCACTCGATCAGTCTCCTCAAAGGTAGGTGGCAATGGCTCAAAAACATTTGTGGTTTTCCAGAACAGACGATGAGGTTGGAAAAATCTAGTGCTGGTGACTAGTAATGGTAATTAATGCGATTTCTTATAAATTTCATTAGCATGCGAATTCTTGAGTCTTAGATTATATATATACTTAGATAGCTAATTGCTATTGCTATGCTATTTGCTAATGTAACTATAATTGATATTACCTAAATAATTATATGAATTTTGTTATTATACGAATTAAGAGCGCGTTCAGCTTGTGAAGGAAGGAGGACGTGGCGTCCTAGCGTGCGTTTAGTTTAGTTTACTCGCCGATAACGTTTTATTTCTACTAGTACACTTGCATTGTGTTGTGATTAAGATAATGAATGATCATATTATTATAATTAAAGATATTTAACAATTTAAACCCTTTTGATGTTTAAGATTTTGTGAACTTTCCTTCATACTTTATCCAGGCTTAGGACTGGCAGTAAAATGTTATAAACTGGCGTATTTAGTTCACTTGATCGTATTTACATGATTTAGTTTTTACATATAATGCACATTATTTACAAATTTATTCAACATTTTCAACTTACTTCTTAAAATGGAGGAGATTCTCAATTCGACTGTATGTTCTTTTATGGCATTAGTTTTTGTAGTCAGAATTTTTCAAATTAAAATTTAAAAATACCAACTGTTCGGTTTTTTTGACAGAAAGCCTAGTTCTTCTCTCTGACAACGTGTAACCAGCTTTTGAAAAAAGTCTTTCACTAGGCACTGAAGTCGCGACTATGTTGCAGTTTGTAATAACTAATTTGCCGAGATGCGGATATTTTTATCGGCCGCTGGATCGCCACCACACGCAAGGGTCAGCTATTTTGTACAAACTCATCTTGCAAGTACAATTCTACTTCCCGTTGAGCGGTTTGAAAAAGATTTTGGTTAGGGTTAACCCTTCTTTTTTCTAAGATTGAATTTCCTTTTCTTCACAAACTAATTTCCTCGTCGTCCTCTCTGCTTGACTGAGGTTCCGCGGTAGCTAAAGGAGTTAGTAGGCGGTAGTCTCGTCTGTCATGAGATTATAGACCTTTGTCACAAGGTTGGACTTGGCCCTTTCAGCTGCACTTTCGTCAATGAACATTGATATTTTGTACCTCGGGTCCAATGTTGTGCACAATGCCAAAGATTGCTCGTGCTCAAGATCTCCAAGTCTACTTTTTAATTGGGTTTCGATGCATTGAACTATGTTTTTTATAGCATCAAAATCAGCTGGTTTTCGTTTTAGCTCTTCCATCACATCATTCAACGCGCTTATGACGGCAATAGCTTTTGAAGCGCACACATATTTTTCTGCACTTAGTTCTTTCGTCGCTTCATCAAATTGTTTTAATACTTTGCAGAGCTGTCTAAGCGCGGTCCACTCTTCACCTGTTATTATAGGTAAATCTACGTCGAGAATTGGTACCGTTGCCATGACGGCATCTTGAAGATGGACAAAGCGTTCTATCATAAAATAGGTGGAGTTCCATCTTGTTGGCACTGAATTGATCAGTACCAAAGGTTGTCTAGCGCCTTGTACTTTGGCTTGGTACTCCATAAGCTTTTCTTTGGCCTTGTAGCTAGCTCGATAGTACGTTACTATTTTCTTTACTTTTTTTAAAGTGTCCAAAATTCTTAACGGGTGCTGCAAAGTGAGGTTCAGCTTATGAGCCATGCAGCCACAATGTGTCCAGCCTAAAACTTTGATTGCTCTGACTATATTCGCAGCATTATGCGTTACACAAAAATTAATCTTATCTAATATACCCCATTCCATACACGTATTTCTTAAAACTGAGGCAAGATTTTGGCTTGTGTGTCCACCATACATTACACTGCATTTCAGCACCACTGATTTAAATTCAAAGTCATTGTTAATAAAATGAGCTATAAAAACCTATAGGACCTATAAAACGTCCATTTTAACAGACGTCCAGCAATCGGTAGTTAGACAAATTGTTACTGCTTCCTGACGCAATATCCTTTTTTGGTCTTCTAAACATGTGTTGTATAAAAATGGTATTAGCTTTACTGATAACACTACGTCCCGGTAAAACATAATTAGGGTTTAACGCCTCTAAAAATTCTACAAAATCAGGTTCATCAACGATAAAGAACGGTTGGTACGTTCTTGCAATGAGCTTCTAAAACATGGCATCTATATGCTTTTTTTCTTCGGTACGTAAAGGTCTTCGAATTCGTGCATATTCTAAAATATTTCTTTGGGTCCCGGTTCTGGTAGCAGTGTTTTCCTGTCGGTATTCTCCAACTAGTAGTACTCCTGGTGCGCTGATGTAGACGGCACAGATGTAGGTTGAACTGGTTGCGAAGGTGCAGGTGCCGACCGAGGACCGAGTCGGTTCACTTTCGGCTAAAAAGCTATTGTAATGGCCAATGTGTTTTAGTTTTAGATGGGTTTTTAAATTGGTGATTGATGTTCGGTATGAAAGGTTTTTAGAGCACTGATTACAGTTAGCAATTTTATTTTCTCCAGCACCATTTGAAAAATAATCCCATATAGGGTGTTAGTTCGGTGAGACATTTTCACGTTAAAAAGTTTATTTACCTAATTCCACTAAAATATTTATATACAAAACCTAAAATTATTATTTACACTTTTATACTATACACAGACACTTCTACTACTACTACTACTACTACTACTACTTTTGACTAGGTACCTACTGTTATTTACAGATAGGTACCTAATGAGTTCACACTATTATCAATTTAAGTACAATAATAAGCGTAACGAAAGAGTGTAATTTAGAAAACTAAACTCTCGCTATCACTTGCCAAAACGTACTGAATGTTGACACAATAAATAAAAATACGACGCGCGCCACCCACGTGTCACACAAATTATTATTAAATAATCACACGCATTTATTCAATATACGACCTTAAATACTAGCAAACCCAAAGATAATAAGGTAATAATTTGCTTAATCCCATTCTTCGCATCACCCTGGTAATAACTTTAACGAATTAAACCGATGGCTCCTAAGTATAGTGAGTCAACTACAAAATTCAAATTTTAGAGGAGCGCCAGTCAAAGATTAATTGTTTATAAATTTTTCTGTTTTTGTACTAGAATGTTGATTTTTTTAAGTTTGTGTTATTTTAAGATTTGAGACACGTATACAATAAAATAGTAGACCTGTTTTAGTGAGTTTCCAGGATAATGTAGTTGGCTTAGTGTACATCATATAAATCATGGCCTATAATGAGCTAACTGTCACATACACTCGTTTACAATGTATTTGAATATTCACCATATCTTTAGCAAAAAGTATTAGGTTTATAAATACATAAATACAGTACTGTAATTTATTTTCTTGGACTAGTAAACCGACGTTGTATCTACAGTTTCAAGGATAATAAATTAGTTGACTCATTATACACCGATTTTTATGTCCGAAATCGATTCGATGAAGTAGCAGTAAATTGATATATCTGCAAATTAAGCAAGCTTTTAGCTTGTTAATTTTTGATACAAAGGAAAATAATCATGTTTTTTATTTTTAATTATTTATTGAAACATATTCAATTAACAATCGAGTAGTTAAACTTTTTTATATTTTCCATAAAACAAATAAATTTAAATTTCTGTCTTGAATAAAGGTAGAAAACAAAATTATATTTGTATGCGTTAAAATTAAAGGCCCTATTTCCCTTCCTAATCAGATAATTAATTAATTTTTGGAAGTATTTATTTTAATAAAATTCAATAAAATAAAATATCTTCAGGAAAAGCAATATCTAAGTAGAAAAATCAGGGTTTTTTCAGTCAAATTTTTCTGGAGCAGTATAAACAAAGTTAAAACTTATCGAGAGGGTTCTAAGGAACATTGTTTTACAAACAGATATTCTTTTTATCTCTGCATTTTCATTTAATTTCAACCATGGTAAATAATATTTAATAGTGTATAGCCGCTTGTAATTTTCAGAAACAGTTAAGCAATGATCTTATAGGTAAAAGAGTCCTCTTTTACCTATAAGATCACTGCAGTTAAGCGCTTATAATGTACAGAACTTCTAATAGTTTATAATCGAAAAATAATGTGATTATTTACTGTCACAGTTATAATTTAAATAAGCTAATGTAATGAAAAACTTAATTTTTATGAGATATTCCATTAACTCGTTATTTTCAAAAATTTCGTGTTCGTTATTTTGTCTTGATGATTTGAGTATCTAGCATTTTGTTGTTTTCTTTCCATGCTTATTTAAATTTATCGTCAGTCAGTTATCTCAGTCCCCAGTGACCATGGGTGCTGGAAAGCGCCCGAAACGTCGGGAATTAAAAATAAAAGTGATTAAAAGTAAAAATAAACGCGATAAAATCCGTAAAAGTAGTTTTAATCATGTGTAGTGTTCGCTTAAATATAAGAAATCATTATACCAACAATTTTAACTTAAATCTAACATAATGACCGTAATACACACACCTAAATTCCAGTCCAGTGTGCACATGTCGCTTAAAGTACCCCGCCCGCGTCCCGTGTTTACTGAATTCGAGTAGTTAGCTTAGAATACGCCGTATGGCAATTTTAAATTCCACAACATAAACCAGTATACGTTAGATTATTTCCAAGAACATTTACGCATTTTAGATTTTTTCGATATAGTCTGATAGATAATATATTTTTACAATCAATACCATCAAAACCTGAAAATACCTAAAAATGTTAGATGACTCACTATACTTAGGAGCCATCGAAACGATCACACGCATTCATACAATATACGACCCTAAGTACGAGCAAATCAAAGATAATAAGATAATAATTGCCTAACCATATTCTTCGCATCAAATGCACCTGCTAAAAGTCATGGTCACGTGAAACAGATAGATTTAGTATTCCTGTAGGTGCGACGGAGAGCGCATGCTGCCGCTGTCTCGCTGAGTGCCGCGTCATTATCGTGCATCAATAGTATGAACGAAGTACGAAGCGAATGGGTGCGTTTGGCAGAAAAAAGCCCCTAGCAAGCGCTTATAAGCGCTAAAATAGTTTTCGGCCAGGACACGATTGCTACTTCAGTAGCGCTGACACAATCCGCCATTAATTTGTTTTATTTAATTTGTTTGTTTTAAAGTAGAGTTTATAAGTTGTTTTGTGCAATATTAGTTTTAAGTAATATAATGACATGAATAAACATATACATGCTATTAAAAACTCATGATTGGTAAGTTTTTAATATGAATACTTTACAAACATATATTTAAATTAGGTTAGATTCCCCGGTTAAAACTAACATCGTGTCCTGGAGGAAAATAGCTACTTACGATTTGACAGCGCTTACCGCTTACGATCGCCATTTTGCTTACAAGCGCTTGCTAGCGCTTTTTTCTGCCAAACGCACCCATTAATTCACTTCGCACTTTACAGAATTTGGCAACTACATTTCATTTGCTAAATGAGCATTCGCATGCTAATAATGAATGCTAATGTTTATTAATCCATCACTACTGGTGACTGATTTACGGAAGATTGGCTATAATTTTGGGTAGAAGCCTCACCGATATCTTCACTGAGTTCATCTTCATCTGAGCTGTCATCCTCTTCGTCTTCATTACCTTCAGCTTCAGGATTGAACGTTGGATTATCATCAGAATCCTCATTCCCCACATCAATATCTAAATCAGAATCTTTCCGTTGATGACGTCAATTAATGCTCTAAAGGAGATCCTGTAATATAAGCAAATAAATATGAAAATAACTAAGAATATGCGGAAAAATCGGAAAAGGTAATGAAAATTATGTGAAAATGTAATGTATCCAAAAATATGGGAAAAATAATTTTTTATTAACATTGAAACCCAATGTCCCCATATGGAGACAACCAGGTTTACCTACGTATGAGAAAAAATTGGCACATTCGAACCAAAAGAATTGTAATCAAAACTGCTCTGAAACTATTTCAAAACATAAAATAGATTATAATTTTCACGTGTCAGCTCAAATAAAGAAGAAATCTTCAACTTACCTTGATTAGGATCACGTATTTTAAAAAAAATTCGGGAGCTCATTTTTAAACACTTGCAGAAAAAAACGGTGCATTCAATTGACTGCAGATTGATTTGAGCGGTACTGCTATCTATCGAAAATTGTAAAAAGCTCTAACACGTTGTGACTGCCAACGTCTTTTAACGTAATTTTCCGAATTTCCGCATGATGGCGTAATGTCCCCATATGGGGACGTTTGGAGCGAGGAGGATAATTCTAAAAGAATATGTGGGTCATTTTGAAGTTGAAATTCTGAAAAACCTTGTTTTGAGAAAAAAGAATTTTTAAAGTTTGAATAAAAAAACACACACACACACACACAAAAACTAAGTAAATACGACAGCAATTAGCAATAAAAGCTAAAATTAGATATTCCTCCTCTAATTAGTAACTAAAAAAAATAACAAGACAGGTTTTTTAAATTATTATTGGAACAAATACTCTCTAAATAAAAGATCGAAATATAGTTTAGTACAAACGTCCCGTTGTCGGTGTTTAGTAAAAAGTGAGTAGATACGACATTAATTAAGAATTTTTTTTTAATTATTATTGGAACTGGGCAATGATTATTTTGATTACACCGGTACCGTTTATAAAATAACATCAATATATATATATAAAACAATCACTAGCCAAAATAAACACAAAAATTATTCTATTTGGCAATCTAACTTACGTGTTCTACAAAAATAAATTCCTTCTCGTACTCGTACCTGATTCCTATGACCAATCTGTTTGCAGTACGAACATCGTCTTTTTTGTCGAGTACTGTTTTCACTTGTTTGTTTCTGAAAAGAGTACTCGACAGATGTTGTTGGCAATGTTGGAATGCTAGAATTGCTAGAGGAGCTTGGTTCGTTAATATTTGCAATGGGTTTCGGCCATAAAATGTCTTTATATTCTTCACTTACAAATTCACGTACCTTATTATAAAGATACGATTTTCTTTCGTGCGTCATGCCTGCAGGGATTTTATGTGACATAACTACCATCCAGAGTTGACTGGCCTACAATTTTCCAGCATTGACGTCGACAAATGTTCGCTCCGCGAGAAAAAAACTAGCCACAATTTTTTTGCCAACGTTGCGAGGTCTTTGCGGTTTTGTCGGTAATTGTCCTTCTGAGTACTGAGTCCGATGATTGCCTTTTATTTTCCGGATCATAATGATAGATCCATGTTTCGTCACCATTTCTGAAACACGCCTAAATGCTCCGTTTTCAAAACGTAGACGCATTTCACTGCATCAATCCACACGATTCTGTTTTTGCTTTCGAAGAGCAAACGAAGGATCCGTCGACAACAAAGCTTCCTCACTCCAAGATGTTGATGTAGGATGGTATGAATCTAATGCCTACAATCTTTTCGATGTCCGTATATGTGTTACGTGGGTCTTCTCGTACCAACATTTCAGTAGTCCATATATTTTCTGCCGTTACTGCTGTTTGCGGGGCCCCGGTTCTTTGGTCATATTTAAGGTTAATTTTACCCCTTTTGGATTCAGCAAACCACCTAAATAATGTTGCGCGTGATGGAGCTGAGTCCCCTAATGCTGATTGTAACCGTTGTAAACTCAGTTGTTCGGTTAAACCAAATTTAAAATTCATAATAGATCATAGCGCGCAAATGTTCACGGTTTAGATCCATCGTTTTAAATGAAAAGCGCGGGAAGCGTTGCATGAAAATTAATAGAACTTTGGGTGCGTTTGGCAGAAAAAAGCGCTAGCAAGCGCTTACAAGCGCTGAAATAGTTTTCGGCCAGGACACGATTACTACTTCAATAGCGCTGACACAATCCGCCATTTTGCTTATTTAATTTGTTTGTTTTGAAGTAGATTTTATAAGTTGTTTTGTGCAATATTAGTTTTAAGTAATATAATAACGTTAATAAACATATACATGTTATTAAAAATTCATGATTGGTAAGTTTTTAATATAAATACTTTACAAACATATATTTAAATTAGGTTAGGTTCCCCGGTTAAAACTAACATCGTGTCCTGGAGGAAAATAGCTACTTACGATTTGACAGCGCTTACCGCTTACGATCGCCATTTTGCTTACAAGCTAGCTAGCGCTTTTTTCTGCCAAACGCACCCTTTGTTTTCTTTTTGATACTGAGCAATTGGCTTATGGAGTTCTATTTTTAAATAAAATGCTTTTTAGAAACATAACATGGGTGCGTTCCATTTTTAAATTTCGAGCGTCTCAAAATTTATTGAGTGACCTATGTATATGTATAATATATACATGTATATACATACACACATATTAATTTTCTACGAATATTTAAATTTATTATCGGCTTCCTCCCATAATTTATTATTCACCCGAAAATTCACAAAGCGTGAACTTTAAAATGAATTTACAATTTTATTCACTTTAAACGTATAATATTTAATGTATTGAACATAATATTAATTCATAAAATTGTTAAAAACGAAATAAAATTACGAAAAATAGCTGGCTATGAGAGAAAGAAAATGTGCGCGCGCACTGCTCTCTCTTGCTTATATACCGTACTTAACTCCCGTTCGCCTCGCCCGATCACACTTTTCGCCAGCTTACTCCCCAAGTCAAGCGTGGGTAAAGAAGTTTTACTTCAAAAAAATTTACGTCCGTGTGGATATTTTCGTCCTGTGGGGTATCGTAGGAGACGACTATAGAAAATGATAAAAAATGCTTATGGTTTCTTACAAGTGATAGTACAACCACGTGATTATAACGTGGGTGGTATAAATACCAAACCAGTGACGGGCAGCTGCATCAAAGGTGCGAGACGTCTGGTGCTGCGGGCGTACATCCGTCAAGTGTAATGATTAAGGGTCACTACAACGGAAGTTTTTTTATATCGAATAAGGGTGAGAAACGATCACACAGTCCACCTGATGGTAAGTGGATGCTGTGATCCATAGACATCTACATTTATCCTCGATTAAAAATCAAATGTATACGTGGTAGAACCATGCTGCAGTTATATTAGAAGTATGTTAGTTATATTGGAAGGACCACGCTTTCACAGAATACCAGCGTAAAAGAGTAGCTTAATACTGCTGTGTTTCATATGGTGACTGTAGAGAAACGCGGCATTCCATCTTAGTCCTCGCGGGTGACAACGCATCTGCATTTTGATTCGTAATCGAGGATGGATGTAGATGTCTATTTGCCACAGTAACTACTTACCATCAGGTGGATTGTGTGCTCGTTTGTCACCCTATCCTATAAAAAAGTGCAGATAAGTTGTTATCCCTGAGGATTAAGATGGAATAGCTCGTTTTTCCAGTAAAAAGGGTCTCCGGCTTTCTACACTCACCATACGGAACACAGCAGCACTAAGTTGCTTTTCTGCTAAAATTCTCTTAGAACTTGTTCGAGCCGACCCATTCTTGCTACAGCCATAATATAGCTGCAGTGTGGCTCCACCGCGTAAAACGGAATGACACGTGTGTGAAAGAGACAAAAAGTTTTGCCTCGACAAACAACTTACACAAATTACGCACGCACATAAGTTTTAACTTTTCTAGTAACGAAGAAGCGCCATCATTTCCCTGCGAAGTGTGCGCCAAAACCTTCAGGTGGAAGACGTCATTGAGGAAACATCTAGAAAAGCACCGGATAGAGACTGGACAGAAACGGAAGCCATATTGTGAACCATGCAGGTAAATAATTTATGTATTTAATAATCGCTCTGGTGTAGGATAAGTTTCTTTTTAAAATATATAGTACATTATATAAGCCTTACTACCGATCAGGAGGTAAGGCTCTCAAGTGGAAGCCTATTATTACCGAGATATGGTTCCAAGACGTTTTACTTAAATTGGATGAGAATGCAGTTATTCTTTTAAATAATGCATCGTATCATTGTCGAAAACTTGACAAAGCACCTACAACTTCATCTCGCAAACAAGACGTTTTATACGTGGTAGAGCTATACTGCAGTTATATAGTAGTATAGTTGTAGCACGAATTGGTCGGCTCGATCGGGGAAGGACCACGCTCTCACAGAATACCAGCGTAAAATAGTAGCTTAATGTTGCTGTGTTTCGTATGGTGAGTATAGATAACCGGAGACCCTTTTTGCTGGAAACGAGGCATTCTATCTTAGTCCTCACTAGTGACAACGCATCTGCGTTTTGATTTGTAATTGAGGATAGATTTGGATGCATAAACCGCAGCAACCACTTCACCACCACCAGCCGGGCTAGCATGAGCCGGAAAGAATATATCCCCGTAGAGAGGATATAATTTTTATCCCTTGCTTCGTTTTATCCACCCTGCGAGCATGGGCAAGAGACAAAAATTATATCCACTGACAAGAGATAAAATTATCTTATCTCTACAGTATATCCCCGTTTGACATAAAGAGTGGACATATATCTCCCCCGTCCGTAGCATGAGGCCAAGGGAAAGAGAAAAAATTATCCCTTTTTGACATTTGAAAGGGACAATTTTATCCTCTTTCGCGGACGTGGGTTTAAGTTTATCTTCAAATCATTTTAATACAAAAAAGATGTCTCGAGCCTATTGCAACTACATTTTCGTGTCAGAAATTGAAAAACAAGAAAGAGAAGAAAGAGAAGAGCGATCGATACGTGATCAGAATACTTAATCTATTGGAATTCTCCGACAACGAATTTCTGCGCCGGTTTCGGATGCTTAAAGATTGTGTTTTGTATTTGTGTAAAGAAATCTATGAGGCTTTAAAGCCTATTAATTCTGTGGATGGACTACCAGTGCATATTGAAGTAAGTCTCAATAGCTCAATGCCATGATTTGGCACAAGGCGAGTCCAAGGTCAAGTCAAATTTAATGATAATAGAATCGGTCTATACTATATTTTAGGTAAGTATTATAACGTTTTAAAATAAAGTTATCAAACTTAGTAAAGTTACAATTCAAAGGTTTAAATTAAGAAATATGTTAATTCTTTAGCAAAGCTTGCTAAATATACTATACTCATGATTATAAAATTATTTATTCTTTGTTTTGTTTGAAATCATTACATTTTTATTCTTCATGCTTCATCATTTTTAATTAAAATTAAATCTTTGTGACTTAAAGTAGACATCAATTTTGATGTATTTTGTAATTTTTTTTTATTATGGCAGTAATTGCGGGGATATATTTTTTTTCATTTCTTCAAGAGGTTACACCACCTCCAAAGGGTCTGTATTGTCCAGTTTCACAATTGGCTTAATTCTAAACACATATTTTTTTAATAAATGCTATCACAAGCGAAGTAATACCTGCGATTTGATACAAGCAATGTATATTTAACTTAAATATTATACAAAAGAAAATAAAGAAAGAATTGGAATAATAGAAAAAATAAAAACAAGGCAGAAATACGCTTAAAATAAATATAACAAATATTATAAATGACATATTGTTTAACAAAAAATTAAGAACAGTTTAGCAATATAATAAACAAAAGGTAAAAGAAATTATAAGTTAATGTAAATCTACTTAATCTTAAAACTAGTTTATAGCTAGTATAGTTTATAGCTTTATACTATGGTATATTATCTATGCGCGGAGATAAGTTTATCTACTGTCGATATTATATCCACCATAGGCCCATGCTCGCAGGGTGGATAAAGCTTTGACATAGGGATAAGACAATTTTATCCCTTGTCAGTGGATATAATCGGGGGATAAAATTTTTATCCCCTGCTCATGCTAGCCAGGCAGGTGGACTGTGTGCTAGTTTTTCACCCTATCACGAATCAATGTTAAAGTTGCAATTTTTTTTAAATTAGTTAAGCAAAACAAAGACCGCTTTTTTTTGCTTAACTTAAAATTTTACCGTAGACGAGATGGCTAAGTAAACAAATCGTCGCGTCATACGTTTGTCACCGTATCACTGTGAGCTCAACCCAATTAAGCTTGTTTGGGCTCATGTGAAGGGCTACGTGACAGCAAATAACAAAAGTTATATAATTGACGAAGTTCGAACTCTTTTGTTACAAGGATTAGCTCAAATGGATAACCAAAAATGGTCGTCATGTGTCAATCATGTGATAAACAAGATCGAAACAAAAATCTACGAGGTCGACAATAATGTAGAAAATATGTTAAAGCAGTTTATTATTCACGTGTCCGTTGGTTATCGGATTTTTTATTATTTTGAGCTGTTATTAGGAAGATGCTGTTGCCAATCGCCTGTTTTTTCTTACAACACTAACGGAACGACATAGGGTGGTAGTGATTATACTTACACGGGTAATACGGGTTTAGTTACTATTTTATAGTAGTAGTAGTCTATAAATGTATCTGTTTGACCGTAATGGAGAAAGAAAGAATTTAGAAATGAATTAATTGAACGAACTGAAAGTGAATTAAGTAAAAAAATTGGTAGAAAATTTAAATTGCAAAAAATATATATAATTGAGCCGATAATAACATTCTACACTTTAAATCGAATAATGTTTTTTTTTATAGAAGAGGGGGCAAACGAGCATGCGGCTCACCTGATGTTAAGTGACTACCGCCGCCCATGATCTACCGCAACACCAGGGGAATTGCAGGTGCGTTGCCTGCCCTTTAGAAAGGAGTAAGCTCTTTTCTTGAAGGTCCCCAGGTCGTATCATTACATTACAACATATCATTGATGTGCAGAAGAAACAGCGTTGGCGATAGCACGCAGCCTTGTGGAACACCAGCATTAATAGGCTTGCAATGGGAGCTTGCACCGTCTACAACGACCTTGATGCTCCGATCTGCTAGAAAGCTGGTGATCCAATCGCACAATTTCTCGGGAAGCCCATAGGAAGGGAGCTTCGAAAGAAGCGCTTTGTGCCAAACCCGATCGAAGGCCTTCGCAATGTCCAAACTAACGGCCAATGCCTCACCCCCTATTTATGTGATAAAATATGATGAAGGCTTTTATTATAAGTTTACCTTTAGTTAAAGGTAAATAGATAAATAAAAAAGCAGAAAGTTCATCAGAATTAAGTATAAAATTAATAGGTCTGGATGTCTTTTTAATTATTTAATCAATTTTAACAAATCAGTCTTCGTCAGTTATTCAGTCTAATGCCGCCATATTGGCTCGATAGTTCCCTAGTACAATAAAATTTAAAATATAAGTACTTTTTTATTTGAGTGATTAATTATGTGAATATAATTACTTGTAAAATATTTATTATTAGTAAAGAAGTTATTTTTACAATTCTTAAACGTTAGGAATTAAAATTGAGTCTCAACTATTTTTATACAAGAAATAGTATTATGTAGATGATAAAAGAACATCCCAATGATAATTAAACGTTTAGAAACTTGTCATAAAAAGAAATATTTATACTTAATAATCTAACAATACTTAATAATCTAACAGAAGTGATTACGATAGTTTTTAAGATTACAAGAATTGTATAATAATTATTTTATAAGTTCTTGTGCATAATATAAATATATTTATTATACTATTTATACTATATTCAATATTGTTTTCTTGTTATTTATTTATGAAATTATTTATATATAAAAATAATTTAATTTTCTCTACAGTAAATTTTAGAAGTGTACAATATGAACCGGCCTTTGCGATTTCGAAACAAGAACAAAGGCGTTGGTCTCACCCCTAACAATGACCCATCTCATTCTGTCAATATCGAAAATGTGCAATAGACATACTCGGTACTCATTTGTTAAAAAAACAGACTATAGTGTTGTATTTGTATGGTTTCAGATTGTCCTTCACAACGACATCCAACTTGCAGAAACATGTCAAGACAAGTTCTAAGCACCAAATACAATTGAAACTTAGGTGAGTACCGAATCATGCATATTTCGAAATTGTACCTAAGACTTCTATGCATATTACTAATATGCGAATATAGGTAACGGCAGTCGGCCTCAACGGAGCCTAGACATCTGCGCAGGATTTGATTATAGTACACTAGTGTATCTGCAAGTACAGGTGCCCTACATATTCCCTCATTCTCATAGTCTGATGGGACAGTAATCCAACACGACTGGAGAGAGATCAGGCGCAAAACCAACAGCTTTATGTGCTATACGAGGCACGAGGGTAAATCACCAACTTTCTGACTCCGGGATGCTACTGAGAATTTCTTGATAGCAATTTCAAAAACTGATTTTTTAAGACCAATCTGGGATTCAAACTCGGGTATAGGTAGCGCCACCAAAGATGAAATTAAATAGAGTCCACTGCGCATGTACAATCAAGCAGAAAAATGAAAATTTTATTATGGCATTTTAATATGTAAAAAGTCAAAGGTCAACATTATAACTACACATCAGTCTCCACGAAAACGGAACGATATATTTATATATCATCGTTAGGTTTTAACTGCTTCTAAATAATATTATGCATTTTATGTGCACATAGTTAAAGAAATAAAATATTTTGTATTTGTATTTTTGTATTTGTAATTGCTGTTTAAACTATACTATGCGATAGCCATCGATTATAAGGATATTTTACATGCAATAATTTGCTAAAAAAATCATCTTGTAGAAAATAACAAAATATTTACAACTTTATACAATATACTACGAATTACGCTATTTTAAATAGTCCCAAAATAATTTATAAAGTAATAAATATTTGCACACTATTTGAAAATATTATAGAACAATATTTTTAAAAGTACAAAAATAATCGCAAAAATTTAAAATTTTATAACAGGTAGTCGCTAACACTTTCGATATCGATAGTACACAAGACGACACAAGAAGGTGCGCGAGCGACGGGACGCAGGAATAAACGACGTAGGAGTAGCGCGTCGCCCGTTGCTATGGTTTCGCTTCCCCGTACCTCACACCTCACCACGCCGACAGCTATTTTTCGCTTCTGCGCACTTCCATTTAATTTCATCTTTCGTGGCGCGACCTCATGGTATGCAGTCGCGTTTACGAGCAATAGACCAACGAGGCAAGGTAATATGTGTGTGCATTCATACTATCCGTAACAGTCAAGTGTCGCTCGAATCCCATTCCATTATAATAAATCAGACCGAGATCGAAACGAGAATGAACTGTGAACGGAAAATGAGGATATGCCCTTAAAATGCTATAACTGATTGTCGTAGCAATATTATGTAATAATACTTTTTAAGTAGAGCCAGGCTGCAACTATATTACAGTTGTGGCACGAAATTGATTGGCACGACCGGATTAGGAACGGACCCTCACAAAACACCGGCGTAAAATGGCAGCTTAATGCTTATGGTGAGTGTCTGTACACTCACCATAAGCGTTAAGCGCTGGATATCTTTTTTATTGGAAACGAGCATGTCATCTTAGTCCTCACGGATGACAACGCATCTACATTTTGATTCTTAATCGAGGATAAATGTAGATGTCTATGGGCCACAGCATCCACTTACCATCGGGTGTACAGTGTGCTTGTTTTATCACCCTTATTCTAAAGAAAAACACTTCTTTACAGAAAGTTGAAGGAATCCCTTCCAGAAGACAACGCTAGCCCAGAGAAACAACAGGCCCGTATCGAACAGATAAAGTGTCTGGTGAATAGCGAGCGACAACAGTTCCCCTGTCCGCAGTGCGGCAAGCGCTTCCAATGGCGCGGCAACCTGTTGCGACATCTGCACAGCCACGCTGCAAGGTTTGTACTAGTCCTATGTCGATCGCGATTGATCGAATCTTTTTGATTCGATTGCAACCTGTGCACGAGTAATCGAATCACGGCTCTCGAAAAGATTCGATGTTATTTGACCCAATTTGAAGGTGACGAAACAAACCAAATTCTACTTATTTTTACATACATATAATCGATCGAATCGCGCATTCAATCACACAACGACGTAATAAACAAAATGTCTTCTGTCTCCTTCGTTTACACACAATTCAACCGATAAACAAATCGTAGTATGTATTATTACTATTATAGCACCCGTTCAGAATTATTCATTCAATCATACAAAGTATACAAACGAGCTGCGACCCAAATGATCGAAACGATCGAATCTTCTAAACCCGATCACCATACGGGTGGGTCGTAATCGACCCGGGTTACGAGAAATGATCGATTGACACAGCCTAGTTTGTACTTCATCCACTTGTCCATCACAGTCTATAATAATAATAATGTCCTCGAGACAGAATTTCGGTCAAGCGCATAAAGGAAATGTTCATATGTAGTGAACTTTAAAAATAAATTCCTAATTTAAATGTAAAACCAAACACTTTCAAGTGTAAAATATAGCTAATGTTAAGTTGTTAAACACAATTGCCTTTTCTTTGTATTAGTAATTCTGAATACGTATAAATTTTCAAATACTCATAATAGTTCGATTACCGGCCACCCACAATGGAGACTAGCCATTGGCGCGGGACAGGATTATAGTGCCCAAGTGTATGCGCAAGCACAGGTGCACTCTCTATTGCCTCACTCTCATAATCCGATGGGACGGTAAACCGACACGACCGGAGAGAGATCAGGCGCAGGACCAACGGCTTTACGTGCTTTCCGAGGCACGGGGGTGAAACACCGCCAATTTCCTGATTCCGGGCAACTATTGAGAATTTCTTAATGAAAAAACTCAATAACTGATACTTTTTAACCCGACCTGGGATTCGAACCCGGACCTCATCAGCAGTCGTACTACTACGGCCACTAGGCCAACGAGGCAGTCACAGACTATAAAAGTCCACTGCTGAACGCAGACGGGATGACAACCGCAGTTTATTATTATTATTTTGGCTTGTTAGGAGGATGCTGCTGCCGATATACTGTTTCAGTTGCCCTCTGATGCCGCTAACGACGCCCAAAGAACGATATGGGGCAGTGGATATTCTTACACTGCCACTGTACTAAGTTTAGAAAAAAAGAATATTAAGAATGCTATAAACATTATTAATATTCCCCTTAACCACTGGTGGTAAGCTTAAATTGCTTGTGTTACGAGTGGTTCACGCCAGTAGTCGAATGGCGGATTCGAACCCACGATCTTTTGAGTTCGCGGTCCGCGCCTTGCCATTAGGCTACTGTCGCTTCATACTTTGTACTTGTTTGTACTTAAAATTGATTCTTTTCTTTTCTTTTTTTTTATAAAACGTTGCCCCTACACTAGGATTTTTTCCTGTATCGTGGAATTAAGACCTTAAGTTTACAAACATAAATTGCACGAGGACAAACACCAGCCCACTATTTGTAGGCCATACAAAGAATTGTTCCGTACGGGATTCGAACCCGCGGCCCCCAGCGCAGCCGCTTATTGCTAAACCACTGCGCCACGGAGTCGTCAAAATTAAAATTGATAATTGCATCTCTGTAACAGGACTTTGTTGGAAAAGTCTTGCAGTAAATATGTTGAAGAGAACAACCCTTGATCTCAGTACCAAGTGCTGGTCGAGTTATATCGGTATTATCAAAGAGGTAGAGCCACGCTGCAGCTATATTATGGTTGTAGCACGAATGGGTCGGCTCGAGCGGGGAATACCAGCGTAAAATAGTAGCTTAGCTAAGTTAGTTTACGACGGGCTGTTTTCCGCAACTCGTATTTTGCGTGTGGTAAAATAGCAGCTTAATGCTGCTTGGTTTCGTATGGTGAGTGTAGAGATCCGGAGACGCTTTTTAGTACCCCCAGTTACCCTTAGTTGTAGCATGAAATGGGTCGGCAGGACCGGTTAGGACTAGGCTCTCATTAAACACCAGAGTAAAATGGCAGCTTAGTGCTGCTGTGTTTCGTATGGTGAGTGTAGAGAACTGGAGACACTTTTTACTGTAAACGAGGCATTCCATCTTAGTCCTCAGGGATGCCAACTCATCTACATTTTGATTCTTAATCAAGGATAAATGTAGATGTCTATGGGCCACAGCATCCACTTACCATCAGGTAGACTGTGTGCTCGTTTGCCACCCTTATTATATAAAAAAGGATAAGTAACCTGTCCTGGGTAGGATTTATTATTTAGATTGAATATAATCATCCTAATGTTTCGTACAGAATATAGTTCAGATCATTCCTCGCATTCTTCACTGTTTGTAAAGTTTTGTTACAATCCATTCAGCTATTCCGAAAATTAGCCCTTATTTAAGACAGACAAATTTTAAAAATACTTATTCAAATCATGGCATGCAAATAACCCTATAAACTCAATAAAAAGTAGTTATTTTCTGTGTTTGAATAAGGGTCAGGCCAATATCAATTATTGAGTTTTCTCGGTCAAGAAATATAAACTTTACTTATATAAAATATATTTATTATTGTGGTTTATTGTATTCGTTAGAATTGAACGTTTTGATATATTTCAAACATCAGAGGCAGGATAGTTTCTTATGCTGTATATTTTTATCATTAAAGGGCAAAAGGCGAGTTAGTATGTGAACCCTGCAACCGGACATTCTCATCGATAGCGACATACCAACAGCACATGAAGATCAGCAAGAAACATGTCTCTGAGAACGATTTCAAGTAAGTTAAATATTATGGCAATACTTTAACATTCTTATTAGTGTAAGTAAGTTAAATATTGTGGCCACACTTTAACATTCTTTTTAGTTCAAGTAAATTAAATATTATGGCGACACTAATATTCTTATAAGTTCAAGTAAGTTAAATATTATGGCAACACTTTAACATTCTTATTAGTTCAAGTAAGTTATATACTATGGCAACACTTTAACATTCTTTTTAGTTCAAGTAAATTAAATATTATGGCAATAGTAATATTCTTATTAGTTCAAATAAGTTAAATATTATGGCAACTCTAACATTCTTATTACTTCAAGTAAGTTAAATATTGTGGCAAGAATTTAACATTCTTTTTAGTTCAAGTAAATTAAATATTATGGCAACACTAATATTCGTATTAGTTCAAGTAAGTTAAATATTATGGCAACACTAATATTCTTATTACTTTTAGTAAGTTAAATATGCTATGCTAAAAACATAACTTGTAAAAAAAAACAAGTCTTGCAACTCAGTTCTTCAATCATAAAAGTTGGTGAGATCCATGTAATACCAAGTCGGTTAATTTATTCAGTCCCTATTAAGGGTCCTTCTGTTTTAAGTTATTACGTAATTAGCTAACCTAACAACATTTTATAGTGACCATATCAATTTTGAAAATCTTTTATGTTTCAAATGATTAGATTACGGCAACACTTTAACATTCTTATTAGTTCAAGTAAGAGTTAAATATTATGGCAACCCTAACATTCTTATTAGTTGAAGTAAGTTAAATATTATATCCCTAACATTGTTATTAGTTTCCTTAACAACTTGCACAAAAATGGGCTGATGAATTATTTTACACTGCCATCTTGCATATTTTACTATGTAACCTATCATCATCATTGTTACAGCCCCTCACAATCTGCCATAGATCGCCACTTAGGGAAGATATATAGTTGCCACGCTTGGCAAACATGTTTTTATTGCTATTAGTGAAATGCTGCTGTCTATCTGATCAGTTTCCCTCTGTCGCCTCTTACAGTACTCACGGGATGTTATGGGAACCGCTGCAGCGATATTATGGTTGTAGCACGAATGGGTTGTTTTTTTTTTTTATAATTATTTTGTTTTTGGGGGGGGGTGCGGCCGAAGGGTTTTGTTGTTTGGGGTAGATTTAGATGACTGGGTCACAGCATCCACTTACCATCAGGTGGACTTTCTGCTCATTTGTCACCTTTTTTCAATAATTTTTATGTTTTCACTAATGCGACTGATCGATAAAACTACAGGTACATGTGCAGTGACTGTGGGAAACGGTTCGCGAACAAGACTCGGCTGAAAGACCACGTGGATTGGGAGCACTTGAAGAACTACGTTCATAAATGTGGCGTCTGTCAAAAGGTGAGAGATAATATTGATGTTTTATATTACCTACCTAACCATGTAGTGGCTGTGAGAGTATATCCACTACCCCATATTCTTCCATAGGTGTTAATGGGTTTCGTAAGAGGCGACATAGGGAAGCACACCAGGAGATAAGCGGTGGCATCTTCCTGATGAGGATAGATGTATGTATATGGACCACAATATCCACTTATCAGGTGGGTTGGTGCTCGTTTGTCACCTTATTGAAAGAAAAATATCTTCCCTACATTGGGAGAGATCCACGTCCCAGTCTAGAACTTTTAACACATTTCTTGCGTACTGCATACTATTTCTCTTGCCTGAGTGTTATCCTTACCGTGAGTTTGCACTGACGCGATTTTCACAAAAAAACATGTTTTAAACATTGTTTTCTATCAATGTATCAAAAAAGAATAATCAAAGAACATGTTGAAATGAAATATGTTTGACAGTTTATTGTACATTACATATTTTAACTATATTATATTTTTATAACTACAGAAACAAAATGTTTGATAACAAATTTGTAGAAATATTGTCATGTTGAAAGATAAGTTTGATATCTGTTGAAAATTTTACGCAGTTTTTGTGAGTGCGAACGCTACCATCAACAAAACATGTTGTGTGATTTATTTTTATGCGATTTGTTTCAAAAAAATACGTGTCGGATGTTTCTCAGTGCAAACGTACTGTTAGCAAAACACCGCAAACCTAGGAAAGCAGATAATAACTCTATAAAGTTAATATGATCCTCCTTATCTGTCCAAAACCACGAGCTACTTCACCATTACAGCGTGCACCTGTTCCCGAAGCATCCGAGAACTTATTTTGTCTTATTAAATTTTTTAGAGATTTTTATCTGAGACATCCACCATAGTAGATCCTCTTTACATTCAATAATATTGATAATCATTTCATCATCGAAATTATTATTTGATCTTCATAAGGCCTGTATTTTTTATTCAAGTTTTTTTTGTATGTAAGAAACAGCCGGGACGCCGACAATGCTTCATTAGTTAGTAAAGTGGACTCATCCATCTGAATTGATAATTGAATAGTCTTCAGATGATAACACAATGACTTCAATGTTATCAGCCATTTCATCAATTCGTTTATGCACAGAACTATTGCTCAAAGGAATTTTTCGAATTATGTCTGCCGCCGGTTTATGGAGCAAGGTGTTTAACTTCTTTTATTGCCGGCAAAATTTACGTTTCTCCGATCGTGTGTGTTTTGCCTGTTTGAGCAATTAACAGAGATATTGTATGAAGCTCGAAGTCTGTCTTCGTCTTGCTTAACAGCCATCTAAAAAAGTTTTGATACACTAGGCTGAGCATTATGCTTCTATTTCAGGTCTTGAAAATAGGCTACATTTTTGTCCTTAGCTGAATGCATTTTGTCAAGCTCTTAATGTTCCAATACGATGTGCAAAATCTCTAATAGTACATTGATTTATATTTAGATATTTGTGAATCAACTGATAAGTTTTCTGCCTCTTTAGTGCTGTAAAAGATAAAGTCATGTCCTTTTTATTAATCATGTACCCCAAAGGTTAGCAATTTGTGAAGGAATAAGATGGCTTCTGTTTGTATTAATAATAAAACCTAAGCACTGAAGCAATTTAACAGTCATTTGACAATTTTTCAGACACTTGTTATATGTTTTATCCATACAGTACACGACTGACTTATAACCTTACACACGTGTAGAAACATAACTTGTTTCAATATCTTGGTAAAAATAATTGGTGCTTTACAAAGCCCAAAAGTTACACAGTTAAATTCATATAACACATTTTGAAAAATAAATTTAAGATTTTTTTTTGTCTTCACCCATTGGAATTAAGAAATATTATTATTTTAAATCAATTGTACACATGAAATCATTTTTAGAGATTAGTTTACATAGAGTTCTCATGTCCTCTAGTTTAAAATGTTCTGTGGAAATAAATGTATTTAAACATTTTAAATTTAATATAAATCTCACACCAAATTTTGCCATCACCATCAACAGCATCACCAGGCTTTGGTACTATAAAAATTTTTACAGGAACTAGGAAATAATTTTTTCTTTAATTTTGGAAATCACTGTTAGAACAGAAATAGGTCTGTAGTTATTAACGTCGTCTCTAGCCCCACTCATATATAGGATGAATAATTGGCCTTTTTAATGACTGAGGAAACACGCCTTTATTAAAATATAGCACGCAGAGATAGTTAATAATGGGGCTAAGTACTGTTTTGGCAAGTTTAATAAATTTTGTGGGTATATTGTCCCAGCCAGGGGCAGAATCAGATTTAAGGTTTGTGATAATTGTTTCAATTTCATTTATATATCCGGTTAAATTAATCTGATGGAATTGAATTGAGGAGAAGGAAGTAACTCGAAGTTACTTTGAGGTAGATGATGTGTAATAATGTCTTCTGCGAGCGTTTTCCCAACATTCAAGAAATGGTCATTAATTAAATTTGCAGAGTTAGTGTATCGGACAACTGTTTAAGGTCTTGATTACTTGACTTTTTATTACTGAGGTCCGTGATATTCTTTAACGTATTCCAAAGTAATTTATTATTATTTTTAGCTTTAAGAAGTAGATCTTGTTCACAGAACACGGAATAAGACATTAGAACGGCTCCAATACACTTTTTGTACGAGAACCTGCGTCGGCAGTAGGCGGAACCCTGTTGTCACAGCTACATTTGCAAATATAAGTACACGCTCACACATGCATTAAAGACGCCAATCAAATGTGTAAAAGTGGCAATCAAATGACAGTATTTCGCCATCCATCAAATACCAAGTGACTTTTTCGGTATTTGAGCACACTATCTACTTGATGGAAAGTGGATTTTGTGGCCCACCACTAAGACTGAGACTTAAGTTGGAATGTCTTTAGCGGTCGAATATGATCTCCGGTTCTCATCACTTACTGTACAAAATACGTAACAATGAGTAAACGATTATCAATTAGCATTTAGCAACTGAAAATTATGGATACGGTATTTCGCTATCCATCAAATACCAAGTGACTTTTCGGTATTTGAGCACACTATCTACTTGATGGAAAGTGAATTTTGTGGCCCACCACTGAGACTGAGACTTAAGATGGAATGTCTTTACCGGTGGAATATGATCTCCGGTTCTCATTATTTACTGTACAAAATACAACAGTTTTTTGCTGCACCGAGAGTCATGCCTAAAGCAACTAATTATTCAAACACTTTTATTACTAGCATCGGTATTTAAAAATGATCGAACTAATCCGGTGCGTGCTCACACATGCACACATACATGTAGTGAAGGCGTAAAGACGCATGAACAACTAGTGAGGTGAAGTGGCGATTGACAACTTTTTATCGATGATCAAGTTGAGTGTTCGTGTTATGTAGGAATGGATGTAGGGAATGGATACAGTTTGTATTTAGGTAAGTTATAAATAAAAAAATTAAATTACTGTATTAAAATTAATGTTGTAATTATGAAGCAATTTTGATCAAATTTAGTACACAGATAAATTAATTAGATCTTGGGGGATTGGGGATATTTGGTTGACAAATTTTGTTGAGAGCTCTAAAGTGCAAAGGGTTAAAAATCAGACATAAAATAATTCGATGTGATGAATAAGCAAAGCAATGCTAAAAAATTAACTTTAAAAGAGAATGTTATTTTTATTGCCCCTGAAATATAATATATTTGTTTAATAGTTGCCGCTTAGTTTCTTTTTGTGTCATACATTTTCAGAAAGAAGTGAAATCGAATATTTAGGTATTTCTCTATAACAACCTTAGTTAAATCGGTTATGTGGTTAAAAAACGGAAATTGTCCCATGTCATAAAATCTGATTGTGTCAAACAAAGAGCTCTCAACGAAATTTGTCAATACTTTAACTTCTATTGATTTTTTATTTATGTTTATTGATTTCACCATAATATGCAACATATAACGTACAATAAGTTCCGTAAATTTACAAATTTTTATTACGTCACTCGAAGGATAGATAAGGCCACCTTTTCTATATTCTTTCTTTTTTTAAATTAATTTGTGTCAAGAGTCAGTTAGACTGCATAAAAGAGCTCCGATGTCGCATTTTATTTTATTTATGAGGGAATGAACAACGTTGCCAGCTATATAACCTAAAACAGAAAAAAATCTGTAACACAGGGATACACTCATATAAGGACACCTGACTCGCGAAACTAGGGAAATGTGCTATCAGGAGTCAGTGATTATGACAGGAGTAGGCAGTTATAGTACTTGACCTGCTAAGTCGAGCAAAAAAAGCGGCACGGCCGTACTATCCTTTTCTCGAAGCAATTCAGGTCATTTTCGACTCCCTATAACTTTCTGACCTCGAAGTCATCTTCATTAAAGTGTTGTGAACAAATGGTACTTGATTTAGTCGGAATCCAGTCTTTACGACCAGTAATTTCGATCCACTGTTTCCGTATATCTGGCTTTTTAGGAAAACTGAAATGTTATAGGAAACAAAATGCCTTATATGTATATACTTTAGTCTTTTTTTAATCCAAAATGAATCCAAAATCCAAGTAACAAGGTTTGGTTGATGGCCGCGCGAAATAAAAAAGGCGCCACTTTCCGGCATTCCCTTTTACCTAAGAATCCGAATCTATAAAGATATCGATAAAATGCTTAGCGTAATGATCAATGCCAGTAATAATTATTTTTATAAGAAAAGATAATGAAACCCAAAAGAAATTGAAACTTATCGATAAATTGCTACAGAGTGCGTGTCTCTTCACTAGAATCATGTGTCACCTTTACATTGCGTGCTTAAAACGACACTATAAAAATGGTATGCGTATTTTGCCAGCAATGTATATTTTTTAGAATTTTAATAACATTTTACAGATTTTGACTTAAAAACCGTAAATTTGAGAAGTTTTTTTACTTACCGATGAAAAGAAATTCCTCCTTTGGCTACACTCGACACTTCACTCCTTGCTTTACAACTAATAACAGCACAAGTAGGCATTTTTCGTCAAAATTAGTCGCCGCGTTTCACTTGCGCACGGTGAGAGCGTTCGTTAGTGACTTATGAGCGCGATCACGTGTCTCGGGATTTATATGACCGTTCACGCAAATCAGTGGCATGCGTGCCCCGCCCACAATGCCATTCTATGTTTTTCTGTTTTCTATGATCTTGTCCATGTTTTCTTTTAAGTTTTTTAACAGATTGTTACAAAAATTAGGATATCGTTTGTATATTAAAGATAATGTTTTGTTTTCTTTATTTTGTTGTGATTGTTTTTGAAGCCTATTTCTGTTTTTTATGCATTTCAACAAACCTGGAGTTATCCAGGGTTTTATAATACGTTTATTACTAGGGTTTTTTTGTATTAGTTTCTATTGGTTTGTTAATTATTTCGATTAAATTTTCAGATAAAGTGTTTGGGTCTTTGTTTTTAATTAGTTCAGCCGTTGTTTCATTAGGGTTTAATGCTTTTGAAGTCAGTAAATACTTTTGTTGATTTTCTATGAGTAAGATCGCTTTTCGAGTAGATATAAGTAAGAACCAAGGAATGGTCGCTAGTAGTGGCTTCGAGGACCGCTATCGTAGCAGAGTACTTACTGGGATCAAGATTAGCGAAAACATGATCTATAAAGCTGTTGATTCTAGTGTTTAATCTATGTCCAGGCAATAAACCATGTTGCGCCATTGTTTCAAGATATTTGTGACTGCGTGTGACCCTCTAATAGACTAATGTTGGTCACCTGTTATTATTACGTTTTTATTTAAATTGTTAGACTTCAGACATTGATCCAAAGAATTTACAAAACTATCTATGTTATAATTATATGGTGATCTATATATACACACAAGATAATGAGGTTAATTAAACAAATTTGCAAACATTTAGCATCATTTATAAAAATCTCTTTAACTTTATGTTCTAAAGTGTCATTTATGTAGACAATGACCCCATCATTTAGAGACACTTTGTTCGTAGTGTTTTAAACGTAATACCCGGGTCTATTTGGCAATGGAATATCAGGTTTTATTCAGCATTCAGTCACTATTAAAATATCAATATGTTCCTCAACTAGTGATAGGCTAACTGAAAAATAATCGGAGTTCTTATTTATACTCCTGATGTTCTAAATAACTATCGAAACAGTTTTACACTAAACAGTTTATCTGAAGGTAAAAGATTGGGGAGTTCATTTGTGTTACTGGCAAAGCTTTTTATATTATTAATGTAATACAATTCATGCAGTAATTGGTCTTCGCTATCCATTATTAATAGGCGGATAATTAAACATATTATCCGCAGTCTGTGTGAAAAGTGTGAAAATATTATAAAATTATTTCCGATGATATCTTTAAGGCGATACCTCGAAAATTTGGTGGTTTTTCTATTTAACATATTTTTTTAAGTTTTATAGATTACAAACCAACATTTTGGTATATGATTTTTGACTATATGACCTTAGATTGCATAAAAGGAAAACACGATATCATGAAATTTTCTCGATAGAAAAAAATTGCAAATTAGGCTCTAATTATTTATAATTCTCCATGACACCACAATATTCTTAGGAATAAGTTCATCAATTATTTTTAAGGTATAGTAAATAATCATATGTAAGTTCTCATAAAGCAGTTTATTAACCCATAACGAAGTTTTGTTAATATAAATAAAAATGTTGTTTGGCGCTTACTTAGTTTTTTTC